CCTTAAACTTTGCTTTAGTTCCATTTGATCAACTTCGCACAAAATTTTCCAGGGATTCCTTAAACTTGGCTTCACTTCCATTTGATCAACTTCGCACAAAATTTTCCAGTTGAAGGGATTATTATTCCACCTTTTTTACTAATTATGGAATTCTTCCACAGCAAAATGTATATTAGAGGAAAGTTTCGTCCTCTCTTTCCTTATAGCATAGGGAATTTCTTTAATAAACATACTCATGATTTAGCCAAAATGAGAGCCTATTTCCCCCAATAACTTTAAAAAGAGGGCAATTTTCCAAACCTAAACCCTTCTTATTATTAAATCAACTCAGTTGATCGAAATAACCTGTCCAGATATACGCTAAACTACCAAGTTAAATTTCGTCCTGAAAGTTGTTTGCAGGATTCGCAGAACTGTACATGGTCGAACTGCAACAGGACCAGTCCGAGAGTGGGTCATGATTATGTTAACGACTGAGGTCGGAGTTCATGTTAGGTTTAGGGTAGGCGTAGGGTTAATGTCACGTTACAGTTTATTCTTATGTTGGATTTAGCGTCTGGGTTAATGCATGCGAATATTTGTCCTATTTATCCGCCTATTTTAAGTTGGCGGGGCTTTCCTTTTTCCATGTCCTTTTTAGGTGGTCATACATGTCTTCCTTACCCTTTCAGCTAGTAATTGTGATGGGAAGTTGGGTCTTTTATTTCTTTTTACCGTAGCTTACTTTTTAATGGTGGTTTGAGTAAACAGTCGTACCCTGTCTGAGTCTTTCGCCTCCATCAGCGAATACTTTTTCAAAACCTGCGATCGTAAGCCAAAACAGATATTTTGTAACGATACGAGTGAGTGAAGGTTACTTGACAGTTAAGTTCACTAACATTTCACAATCGCGGACGGAATTAGGAAGGTCTATGTTGTTCTCAAGCTTCGGACAGCTCGGTCAGCATTAATTTCTGTGTGACTCTGTAATCCTCGCGGCAGCTATTAAATTCGATGAGCAGTGCAAAGGGTTTTCGGGATACAAACTCCGGTTGGCAGAAACTGGTGGAAATTGGTCGACAATGCTTCCCAGATGTTAAGTCAACTGGACGTTTCGACTCTGATATGAAGGTTATTCGATACTCCTGCCCTCTATTTCATTGTATAAACTCGTCCTCTGACGTCATTTCGTTTCATCCATCTGCAACAGTGTTTTACTTAATACTTCTATTATTAGGAAACAGAACATTTTCATCAATTGACGTGCCTGTTATCGTTATGCCTATCGCCACATATTCGCACTGTAAACGTTCGTCTCTCAGGGGCGTTTGATTCCCTCATTTCAGACAGTCCATAGATATTCCATCTGCCGCGCAGGCTATCACTTTCCCCCGCCCTTCTCCCCTTCGTGGTCATGTGCAGCTAAACTCATCTGCGGCTTTTTCTAATATTATAATGGCTGCCTATCTCCGTATAA